GCAGCGAACCCGGCATGGTTAGCCCGACCCTTCCCCCGGCCGAGGTCACGACTGACGCTGGCACGTACTCATCTTGGTTGAATTTAATCTCAAGGGTCAGGCCTGTATTATTTGGAATGACCCATCACATGAGCTTCAGGCAAATTCAGGCAAACGTGCTAAATTATTTGCCCAATTGTCGATTTTATCTCACTTGAACTTCATCAAAAATTCCAGGACATGAACTCACCCCTATATGAAATTCAGATGAATTTTTAGCATGATTGAGCTTCAGGAAATTTCCATTATATACAGTCCTTTCTATCCTTTATAATACAGGGATTTATGAGAACTTTGAAACTTACGCAAATTTTATACTCTCTGTGAAACAGTAAAGAAAAACAGCTAATTATTTGCCCGCTTAATGGCTGTGTTATCTGGCTTGAACTCCATCTAAATTTCTAGGCCTTGCGTAGGCCCTAGATGAAATTGAAATGAACTTTTAGCTTCATTTTGATTGAGGACATGTCCACAAGAATAAAGCAGCATCAGCCTTCAAAATTCACTTTATGGAAACTTCAAAACTGTATGGAAACTTCAAAACTGTATGGAGCAATTTTTATTTTCTAGTTTCAAATTGCAACCCTACAAAATGACAGGCCCAAGTTTGTTTGTGATCTTGGGTGAACTTGTCATCGATATTGTCATGTAATTATAGGCAAATATCAATACTTACTCAATTACTATTTACCTTATATCAATTGTCATCTTGGGTCTGAAATGAGATTCAGAGGAGGTTTTAGTGTGATCAAGTTTCAATAACTTTCTACTACTTGCATTACAAGAATATCCTTCATAGAACCGCATTTTTTTCCGTTCAGCGTGGTTTAAGAATTTTTTTACATTCAAATTTTCATTTAAACCCTGTTGAACAGTCCCTTGATGGTGCAAAATTTCATCCAGTGGCCACTGCTTTGCAAAACAGCCCACACGCAAAACTTTTGGGAGCATAACAATTTTGAAATTATTTTTTGTGTTTTCTGTTGTTTATGCGTCCTGGCTCTTGATTCTTCGTCGATCGTTTTGCTTTCGATTGTAATCATAATTTTCCGAGATATGTCCACCTGATTCCAAGGCAAGTTATATTTTTTAGCTCCTTCCGGTGAATTTATGAATTTCATGGGAAATGATATTTATTGTCGATGTCATATCTTTTTTAAGGATTTTTTTCTTAAGAAAACGTCGCCTCCGTTTGATATTGTTTTTTAATCGCTTGACCGATTTGATAGACATCTGCACATTGTGCATGAGTGAATGGAATTTTTCCACACAGCCATTGTGAAATAAATAGCGTAACCATTGTTGGAGTATGACACAAAACGCATAATTATGGAAATTAATAGAGCAGAAACATTACGTACCGCCATACGCTCCTGCTTGAACAACATTTTTCAATTTTCTGTGTCGATATTTTCCAATGTCGGGGAGAAACTCGACTTCGTTGTTGAACACGAAGCATATTCCGTAAAGTGGGATGAATGTGCTGGAGAACTCGCTGAAATTAAATGCATATTATTTTTTATAATGGTTTCAAATGCAATAAGTGACATTTCGGAACCTTTCATTCCGACACGAAATTCCCATGAAGTCACAGTCTAGGATCAAGTCCATGAAGCCTTGGGACATTTCTTCGATAAGCTTTCGCCTCGTCAAGTCCTTGAACAAAGCGTTGAATTGAAGAAAAAACTTGTCAAGATACAGAGTCTCGATTTCGTGGAATGTCTTGTTGACGAATGTGTAGTTCCGAGGTTGTATCTCCGGAAACATCAAGGTCCGAAGATCGACTCGGCAACTTTCAAACCTGGTTTTTTGTTGTTGTTGTGAAATTTCAAGTTCTGCATTATGCTAGAAATGACCATTACCTTTCAACAAAGAAGTGCCAAAACTTACAACTGCTTAATAAAAGCGATAGAATCGTTCGTCTGTCCAGAAATCGATAACTGTGCTTTGCAATCTCGGTTCAAGAAAGGCAAGGATTCGGGAACCACGTCCAAATTGACATTGTCAATTAAAATCTTGGTCCAACCTTGAGTCCATTGTTTCACTACGCTATCGTTGTTCATCATCAGCTGGAATCGGGGAAAAATAATACAGGTATTTTCTGAAAAATTGCTGAATTCTCAGAAAAATTGCGTTAAAAATCCTAAATTTTTTAAAAGAAAAATATAGAAAAAAAGAAAGATTGCTTGGTTGACTTTAGAAATCACTTGGAATGTTTTGGTTGCATTTGGTTCTTGCTTCCATCAATTTGATGCAAATTTATAAGTTCTTCCAATACTTTCATTTGAATACGATAAATTATAAGGAATCTCGAAAAATCAGAAATGCTTCTTCTTTGAATTTTTACCACAGTGGAACCTGTTTCATTCGAGTTTCAAGGAACCAGCAACAAAATTCCAGATGAGGAGATTTTGAGTCAAAGAAACAAGTTTTTTTTTTTGGGGAAATGAAGAATAATAACCGGAAATTTTCAATGGTGATATTCTAAACATTACATTGCTTCTTAAATGAGATGAGAGGATGATGCTAAGCTAAGGTCTTATTTTTCCAATAATAGTCTTTAATTTCCCTTCAATACACACCAAGTTTCATTTTTAATGCCTTCTTCTTTCTTGAGTCAATAAATTGATAATTGAAAGGCCCCAGAAAATACGAGTTTTGGAGGTTCAAGATGTAAAGCCATTCAATTATTGAGGTTTTTAATGCATTTTTTTCAAGGCAATTCAGAAAAAATTTCAGATATGCAGAAAATATAGGGAGAATCAATTTATTGAGGATCAATTGTACAGTATTGAAAAAAATCTTCAATGTTAAATTTATGGTACAAATTTCAAAAAAAAAAATTCCACGAAGTAAGGAAATATGTTTTCTTTTCAGAAACATTTTGTGATAATTGCTGTAAAAAAGAGCAGACTTTCTATAAACTCAGGCCTTGGTTCTCACTTGAGGCTTTTTTTTCTTCTGTGAAATAGTGAAAATACAACATCCAGAGGAATTTGACCCAAGGAAATTCAAGTTATCAAAGTTCAACTGTACTATTTCAATTGACGTACTCTTAAAATTTGCAGGAATATTGGCAAAAAAAGAAGAAAAAAAGGAAATATGTTCCCAGCTCACTTTATAAATCAGCGGAGGCCTCGTCACAGACTCCAAACAATTGCTGTAGTTGAAAAAATCTCGGATCGCCGGATCATCCCGATGTTTCAAATACACCACAGCAACTTTAGAACACTCGACGGGATTCCGATTGCAAATCGTGACAGCTGGGAATCGGATCTTGGGCTCCACCGTCACTGTGACGAACGTCGTCACTGGGTACGTCAAGTAGTCCAGTACGACAGTCGTCGTGTTCCACACCGTCATTCCGAGCAACGCGCAAAATATGACGAACCACGCGGTTCTCGCTGATCGGTGTCGCGTTTCTGCCAATTGCGAGCAGCCAGCAAGCGTGGTTCTGTCTGCGAATTCTCGCCACTCGGACTCGAAAAAGTCCTTATTTAACTTTGGTTTCCTCAAGGGCATGTTGAGTGTTGTAGTCGTCACCTTAGCAGCTGACGTCCCTTTGTGAACACACTACATCTTAGTATATAGCTTTCTCTCCTTCAACCCTTGTTACCGTCGTTCGTCTACTCTATAAATAGTTCCTAAGTGTGTGAACAGTTACCACAGGCACTCTTGGAAGTTTTTTTTTTATCATTTCTGTTACACATGGGGAGAAATACACATGGAGAAGTAATTTATCAAATGTTTCAACATTTGATTATTTGTTGCATGCCTTTTTCAAGAAACTGAAGGGAACCATTTGGCAAACCATCATTGCTTAAAAAATTGGTATGACTATATTTGTACTGAACAATTTCCTCAATAATTAGCTGAAAACAAAGAAACGTTGGCTTTGGCAGTCCTTCTATTTCACTTTGTTCAATTGTGGAGTTGTGGTAGGAAAATGATGACAGACTTGAAGCAGGAAAAGAGCAGAATTTTAGTTCTTTCAATCAGCAAAGTAAAACCTGAAATAGGGGATCTCCAGACACACCCGTGTTGCACAGAAGCAAAAATTGTTCTGACTACTGCTCTTTGGAGCTTTCAAATATCCTCACACAATTCTTGTATTTTGCTCTCTCTTTCTTGATGCATGTAAAAAAAACAAGAACAGAAACTGGAATTGCACCATGCGCAAGCACCGCGTTTTTCTTCATTTTCCACAAGACTCTCAGCAGGGGCTTGGAAAATTCCTGCTACTAAAGAAAAATGTGCACCAAAGCCTCCGTCCCTCAGCAGCATCCTCACCTTTTTTCCCTAGCCAAACCTTCGCTGCAAAAAATGAAGAGCAAGAAAAAGAAAATGCACAAAACACAAACCTGGAAACACATAAAATTAAATCCTAATTTCCCTACACAAAACATGTATTTTCTTCTACAATCCACAAAGACTATTTTCAAGTAGTTAAACTTGCAGATTTTTCACTTGATTTAAAAAAGTTAATCAAATTCTATGAATGATCTCAAATTTATTTTGAAAGGTGAAAAAAGTTTTAGAGGCTATAGTAATTTATAGAAACAAATTATTTCAAGTTAGTTTGTTCTCTACAGACTTTTGTTGATGCTTTGTAACACTGACTGTAGAAATGGATGGTCAGGCCAGAAGATAATAAAGAAAGTGAATGATGCTTCCATTCTAGACATGTTTACATGTTGTATTGTTTTCTTCTCATGGTGCCTTTTTAAATACACTAATTGCAAAGTCCACCTAATGTTGATCCTTGAATTTGCAAGCTGGAAGTTTTCTTAGCCCTTGTGCAGCAAAGTTGAACTTTTTCCGCATAATTGTGTGTCTTTGAGGACAGGTTAAAAAAATATACAGTTCACCCATGGCAAAGTCTGGCAAAATTCTGGTGTATTTTTTAAAATCCACAGAAAAATTTTGCCCAAAAATAAAAAAATGCATCACCAAGGCTAAGCCTTTTTTTTAGCCTCTCTCTGGATTAGTTGCATTCTTCTCAGATTTGCAACCCTTTCATCCTGGGCGCCAGATGGAGGATTCTTATTTGGAGGCAGACAAAGATTAGTGGAAAAAGTCCAACTTTGGGATTTATTAGCAGCACCCTTATTTTGGATAAAGTCTGACTTTGCCCTTGATGACCTAGCTTGGCTTTTGTGACCTTCAGGAAAACGGAAACGCAAGACTACCTGAGAAAATCCAGACTTTGCTGCACATTGGAAAGGAACCTTTTGCCGCCCGAGGGTTATGTTGCAGCCTGAAGCAACACAGCTCCAGCATCCAGTTGAAACTGGACCCAAAAACTTGTTACATTTCTGAGGCCAGTGAGCCTCACAAAAATCCAGTTTTTGCAAGACTCACTGAGCCTCACTCAAGGACAAGAAGTGGTCATCACTTCTTTGATTTTACAAAATTGGCCAATCCTGAGCCATGAAGAAATCACCTGACTTCTTCCTGACCCAGTCCAAGCACCTGGGTATAAAAACCCTCATTCCTCTTTGAGAGAAGAAGTCAGAACCTAGTGTTAAAGGGCCTTTTTAACTTTAAATTACCTCATTTAATATTCTAGGCTAACCATTGACTCTGCCATTAAAATATTGAATTAACAGCCAATTGATGATCTGGGCAATGAGAATGAACTCCTCTGAAAAGAGTTTGAGTTCTTATTTTGATCTGGGCAATGAGAATGAACTCCGCTGAAAAGAGTTTGAGTTCTTATTCAAAACGTGCATTCTGATGGCTGCACAATTCAATTCCTTTGTCTGGGATCCAATGGACCCATGACAGGTTAAACTGCACAGATGCCTTCTCAATAGGAAAATTTTAAGCCTATAGGCATTTTTGAACCAGCAATACAAGTGTTTATTGCTGGTGCTAGTGAGGTCTGTCCTGGATTGGTGCTCAGAACAAGTCAGCTAGTTACTACAGTAATAGCAAGTGAAACTTTCTGAGAAAAACTTTCATCTGCTTGTTGTTTAAATTAAAACTTTTCAAGATTTGCTTGAGAGTATAATGATTTGAAGCTACTGGTGTTTTAAATTCTCAGAATCCACAAGAGGTTTTTTTTTAATTTTCTCGAAATATGGAACAAGATTTCCTGGTCTGCTGCAATTGACAACTTTCTACAGAGGAAAGCATTTTTCAGTTGAGGACTTTAAGCTTCAACTACTTTCCTTCTTCTCTCTCTACAGCTTTTTTATATCTTGGGAAGCTAATAATAACTCCACTGAGAATACAAATGACAGATATTATGCAAGAATAGATTTTTATAGACAAGTAACATGCTTTTTTCATGCAGAAAAGGTAGATGCACTATGTATGAAAATTTAAATTAAACTATGATAATTGTAATAATCATGAAATTGACAGATGAAGCACACACATACAGAAACCTAAAAGTAACACTTTGTTTCTCTCAATAATTCAGGTACTGTATCAGAAACTGTCAGTGCCAAAAATTCCGTAAATGATTAGTTAAATGAATGTCTTTGACTGCTATACCTTTTAAAATATGGTTGAACTGGAGGATTAGGCTTGAATTTCCTATAACAGGACCTAACAATCCAACTCTAAACGATTTTAAACAAAGCGAAGAGACGCGATTTGGCAACGTATAATCAGCTGGCAAGATATATGATGGAATATACACTGATATATTTCCGATTGTATAGAAGAGATTGAAGCCAAAGAAGGCAGAATCAAGTTTAGATTTGTTTTGACAAATTTTTAAACGAACATCAATTTGATTTGACTTCAGTTTCTTCACAGAGTTTTCCAGAAACCAACCAGCAGCGTCACTTCGAATAAGCTTCAAACATCCCCAATACTATTCCCTAGAGATTCAGGATTATCAATAAAGTCAATATTTGCTTCATGGTTCATCAAATGGACGAGAAGGCATTGGGAAAGTTCGCCACATGATAGGTTCTCGAAACTGATTGTTGCACATTGGCTTGGAACAAACACACGTCAGCCAATTATCCATTTGTTCGAATTCCTTCTCCCATACGCAATCCGCAGCTGAAAACAAACAAAATTGGTAAAACTTATGTAAAAAGCAGAATTACCTGTTTAAGTTTGCATCCTGGTATACTGATGTAATGAAAATTAGGTACTTCCCTGTTATCTCAGTACCTACTTTCCTGTTATCTCCATACCTTCCCTCTGACCAATTTAACCTGACCTAACCTAACTTCACCTAACTGCCTCCCAAAATCAGTTTCTGCTTTCTATGGGTTTCTGCTGAAACTGATTTTGGGAGAAGGTTAGGTAAAGTTAGGTTAGGACAGGTTATGTTAAGTAAAAGATATTTGTAACTAACATAACCTGACCTAACCTAACTCTGCCTAACCACCTCCCAAAATTAAGTGTGTGAATCCTTGATAAATATCTCATCTGCTTGCTGCCATTGTTCCCAACTTCCTCTCTTTCGATATATGATTCTACATCACACAAGTGTTTCCCTGCAGTCGACGATTCCACTGCTGATGTTGTGATTATGAAATTGTCCTAAAGATTTGTCTGGATGGTAGTGCAGTCTAGGAATGAGGTACTGAGATAACAGGAAAGTACCAAAAAATTAAAATCCTTTTGGTTGCAAGAAAAAGTCAATGATATTCCTATATAGAAGGAAATGCTTTACCTTTGTTGATATTACCCCATTAAATCAGGGGGTAATTAAAGCAAGGGTTGACTGTACAGTGGACCATCAGTTAACAAATCACTCAGTTAACAAATTTTTTTGGCTTAAAACGTTTAGTTTTGATGAAAAATCCCTTGGTTTACAAACCTAAATTTGGTCAACAAAATTTTTGGGAAAATCCCAAATTTAAAAGTTCAAAATTTGATTTTAAGGGCAACATTTATGGTAAAATTGAAGTCCAAATAATTCACATGTGCGCTGATGATGTAAATACAGTATTCTTCCTTTCTGGCACTTGAAATGCGTAATTTTGTGTTTTCAAATGTTTCAGCTACATTTTTCACATTTGCTTTTGTGCAACAGAATTACAGTACCATATTTTTTTTTCTCTGCATGGTTTTTCTAGTAGTTTGATTATTAGAAAGATCTTTTTGATCTTATTCTTTACTCCCTACTTTTAAAAAAGGAATTTCATTTTTACTTGACATATATATTCTACAGCGGTGTTCCCCAACCTTTTTGGACCTACGGACCTGCAATTTTTCCTAAAATATTCAGCAGACCGGCATATTTCGATAACATGTTTTGTGTACCAGTGGCGTTCCATAAAATTGCTGCAGACTGCCAGAACCAATCTTAAATACCTCCCATAAAGTTTGGCAAAACTTTCATTTTAAAAATTATATCAAGAAACAGTTAGAAGCAGCTATCGTGCAATGTCTTCAAAAAATTAGAAAGCTGGGCTTAAAATATGGTTTCCAAGAAGAAAACTGGAAATAATTTATTTCAGCAGGTGACAATTATTCTTAAGTGTTTTTAAGGGAAAACCCAACTCTCATCTCAATCAGATGATTGCAACCACCATTGTCATTCCAAACCATCCAATAACAATAACAGACTGAACAATATAACTTCTGATGCATTTATTTGCATTATGCTGAAAATTTCCCATGGACCATCAAAAAACGTATACAAACTGGAGCCATTTTTCAGACCATGGGTTGGGGGAAACTGTTTTACAGTGTGTTTGTCTAGAAGTGAAGCTTTTTCATCTTGTTTCATCAGAGATACTTCCATATAACACTGTGAGAAAATTCTGGACTCATGTAGATTCCAGCAAAAACTTATCCAGATTGTAGTGAATGGTTTTAAATCTTTTTTTATATGAAAGTTAAAGTGTCTTTTGAGTTCACAGAACAGATGAAATTCTTCCCCGTTGAAGTCTATGCAAAAATCAAATTTGTTCAATAAAGTTCTCTCTGGAACCAATGAAGTTTGTTAACCAACAGTCGACTGTACAGTACAATAATTGTGTTTTGAATGACCAACCCTGTTTGCAGCGGCTTTCGCCGACCTGAGAGAACTCATCCTTGGTTGCCCTGAAGGCCACGTATTTTTTTTCATTGCCATTCTTGGTGAGATGTGCCAATCCGTAACCGCAGAACTGGGATTGGCGCTGGGGCTTGTTGTGAGGTGTGCTCAAAGTGGAGTTGAACGTGGCCACAGTAACTGGGACGTAAATGCAGCCTCGACCTTCATGTTTTTGGGGGGATTAAATCGTGATTTTAAAATTCGCAGCATTTTTAAAATTCAGAAAGAAACCACCCTTCATTAGTTTTGAAAACCGAAAAACAGTGAGTCCCATCCAGAACCGTTTTCTGCAGGATGAAGTTTCAAATAAAAATAAAAATAAACTTTCGACTATTGGTTTTTAGAATTGGATGCATCAAATCCAAAACTGTTTTCTGTAGGAGGCTTCAAAATGATAAAAGACTTTCACCTCGCAAAAATAATATCAATGCATGCATAATGAGTAGAAAACTTAAAATTAAATTTCCATAGCTTTCATCTTTCCTGTGTCAATGAAATAAATGGCCAAAAGACCTCCAGAAAATTTGAGTTACTGAGGTTTTAGAGCAGTGCTTCCCAACCCATACCCCATGGACTGGTGATGGTTCTCAGAAGATTTTTGCTGGTCCATGGGAAATTTCCAGCATAATCAATTTATCAAAAGTTGCAACAAAGTCTGTTCTCTTTACCCAAAATTTTGGAAGGACAATGTCAGTGGAATTCTCTGATGAAAAAAATAGTTGGCTTTTCTCCTAATTGAACATCAGACAAATTCTCACCTGCTGAAATAAGTTATTTTAATTTTTCATCCTGAGGAATCTTTCTCCAAGCACGGCTTTCCAATTGTTTGACAGCATGCTTAACTGCATAATTCTTGTAAATTCTGTACCTACCTAATAAAAGTCAAGAAACACTTTATAGGCGAGTCAGCAAAAAATTATGAAATTTTGCTCGTTTGCAGAACATTTTTAGGAATTTGCCAGTCTGTGATGTTTTCATAATTTGTCAGTCCACGGGCCCAAAAAGGTTGGGAAACACTGTTTAAGAGTAAAAGCCTTCAAGTTGAGGAGGTATTTACTGATTCCTTTCCATGGGAATTTAGAGAGGGACTTATTGAACATTTTTCAAATAGGCAGGTTTTCAACTCAAGCTAGGATAGCGTTTAAGTTATGAAGGTTCAACTTTTTTATGTGTAGAATGCATGATTTCCTTGAGCTTACATTCATAATGATTGAATTTGAGCCAGATACCAAAAAAACCGATGACTTTTCATCTTTTTGCCTTGTCCAGCATTAAATCAGAATCATTTAAAGTTGATTTGCAAAAAGATGAATAAGTACAAAGATCCTGGAAATGATGTACTCACGAATTGAACACCTTGAAAATTTTCAATTAATGTACACTAAGATGTAAAAGAATACCTGCATTTCTCGCATTACTCAATACTTCAAGAATCCCAAAAGTTTTAGTTGAAGTTCGCCAACATTTGAGGTCTTTCTTCCAGACGTATATGAAACAATTTTGCCATTTAAGTCACTTTCCCCCTAAATATTCTCGAAATGCGAAGTTTTCGATGAACGGGTATCCTGTAATGCGGATTGCATAAAAAAAAGGTTCAATACTGGTTCTTTCTTTTTGGGATAGTGACAAGTACTGTATTAGAGAATCGACTATAGTATAGAATAAGAAGTGCAGTACAGTAAAAATCCTTCTTTTTACTCATCTAACACTGCCTCATTCATCTACGATGTAGAATTCGTTCAGATTCATGTTCGAAAAACGCAGGTATTTTGAATGATGCGAGAGATTTTATTGCGAAATGAGATTTTTTCGCTCACCGGCCAGCCCGTCGCGATTGAAGAAAACTGCACAACGAGCAGAAAATGAAATGTTCTTCATGTTGTCCGGCATATCATTGAGCATGATATTGTCATCATAATCTCCTCGAGAAAACCTGGCCCTCCTGTCCCAACCCGGACCGCAAAACTTTGTCTCTCCCAAGAAAAACGCGCTGCGACTCTCGTAGCAAATTGTATAAAAATTCGCTTCGGCTGAAAAAATTTGAAAAGAAACGGAAAAATAAACGGCGAGTTATTTTCCCTGATCATGTCACGCATCTGAATGTCACAGAAAATAAGCGACTTTCATACTCGGATTTAAAATATGGCTTTAGTTGTTTTCAGAAAATTGCAACAATAAAAAAAATTCTGCATGTGACTATGATGGAGATTGAAGTCTGTTGAAAAACGGTGCATCGTCCGGAAATTACACAGAGAACATAATCGCGTGCCAAAGTATATAGGATCGCAAAAATAGCACGAAAAATGTACAATTACAGTGTATGTCTTTGTTGTGCCACTGAATCCTTTCCACAATATGAAGCTCGTAATTGACGTGGAATACAATTTCCCAATCCATATGACGATTATACACCATTTTCAAAAAGGTGCCATCAGTGAAATCGATAAATTATCTGATCGAACCAGTCTTGTTCTGATGAATTGAATGATCACGAACATATTTTTATGCTTGGAATGAGTAGAGGTGCGAGACTATTCTGAGACTTTCTGGTCGTGCATCATCTTCATTATACAGTACAATAAAATATCGTTATACTGCACGACGAAGCCATTGGGACCATTAAATTATCTTCGTTGTAGCGAAAAATGAATTGAAAAGGAAATCTTTTTAAACATCGTGGCTATTGGAACGAACCTAAAAAATGATGTCTTCTGTAACCAATCACGATGTTATTTGTAACAAGGGGCTTCTAGCGTAGAATGTTTCAATGGTACCCAACCAAACCCCCCCCCCCCCTAGGTCAAAAATCCCCATGGAAAGCCCCCCCTCCCAAAAGCCCCCCTAGGTTAGAAGCCCCCTGCCAAACCCACCCCCCCCCCCCCTCCACATTTTTAAATTCAGTTTCATAACAGTGTTTGGTGGCCCTGAGAAGGGCTGCTTAGTTTCATTAGTCCACAAAATGACTGTTGAATAATCATATTCAAAATTGCCTTCTGCTGCATCTTCCTCAGTGTCACTGATCCTCTCAATGTCAATTTCTTCTCAATGTGGCCCTCTTATTGCATCTCCTTCTTCATTAGCGCATTTCCAGCACCTAGTACTGGCATTTGTGCTCTTAACCATGAATACCATATTTACTCAAGTACCACATGCCCTCAAGTAAGGCATACACAGGGTTTTTTCAGTTTGAAATTCGGCTAAAATCTTATCCCAGATTATGACTTGCACCCCAATTTTTAGTAAATCTATAACCACAAAATTTCAAAAATAGAAACAAAAAGTTTGACATTAGAAATGAATTTAACAAAAATCTGACCAATTTTCAAACTTTTTCAGTACAAAAAAGTTTTCTGATGATGATTAAGTATAATGCACATAGAACTTTCTAAAACTTCTTGAAAATGTTGTACCCACTTATGATGGGCACCCCTTTTTTTCTTCTGAAATTTGAAAAAAAGGTGCACGTGGTACTCAAGCAAATACAGTAAATAACCATTGTAGTATGCCTTTTCATCACCCTTCTGATTTTTGATGATCTGAAGTGCACCAGCCATTGGACCAACAAGGTGAATTGTAGATTTCAAAAGTCAGCAAGTGACAATGCTTTGACATTCAAAGAACCACTGATGACCACTGCAGGCGAGGAAGCCCTTTATATACTCAACTTAAAAACATATTGGTACTTGGCCTTGTGCTGGGCCTGCTGGTGAAAGGTGCACTGTACCATCAAGAGTTACAAGGAGACCTGTAATCTCCAATTTTTGCACCAAGGGGGGCTTTTGGCAAAGGGGCTTTTGGACTACACCCCATATAAATAGTAATTGATACGCGGAATTTTATCATTCTACATGCAGAAAGCTAAATTTGTACTCTATCTACTCCCTTTGCAGATTTTGAAACGCTTTCAGAAGTGATCAGCTACGGCAAAAGCTCTCGAGAGTATGTTGAAACATTCGAAAGAAAGTGAAATAATGTAGAAGTCTAGATTAATTGATTCGTTGTCAAATATACAAACCACTAATCACCGACTCTGCCGCCAGACCAACGATTGCTTGGATGAGGACGCACAGAAGTAACTGAAACTTCTGGAATTCCATAAGCATAACTGAACGCGGCTAAGACCTGATTTACCGGATTCCCTGAAATGGCGCGCAAAAAAAAAATAAAATTGAATCCAGGAAATGCCTCCTGAAGGTGATTTTCGATTCTCCTTCAGGCTGATTTTCGATGTTCACTTACTTCTAGTCGTTGGTCCATTCTGTGATATCCCGGAACTGTCTTTCATGGACTAGAAATATTCTACGTAATCTACTTCAGAACCTTGAAACTGAATTTTACCTCATATATAGCTAATCTGTAACCCTTATTTACTCGACATTATGATAGAGTACACACAAATAGACCAGGTTGCTCAAATTGAACAGCAAGCATGAGGCTTGATTCATAGGTTTTTGAGACTTTTTGAAACATATCACACAGAGCTTCAACTATTCCTTTTTTTTTTTTACTTCCGTAGCTCCATTATTTGGCCATGCTTCACCGCTGTCCAAAATACTCTCCGCCGATTTCAATGCATTTTTCATGAGGTAATTCCAGTTGTGCCAAAAATCGAGTTCCATTAGTTGATTAAGCTGTTCTTTGAAGGTGGAAATGAGGCTGTCCCTGTCCTCAAAACCAGTACCCTTTAAGTTGTCCTTCACTGTCAGAAATAGCCAGAAGTCACAGAATACCCAATCAACTGACAGAACTAGATTTTTGGCACTGTTTTGGTCATTGAATTTTTAGCAGGAAAAAAATGCATTGAATTCGGCAGAGTGTCTCTATAACAGCATCACTGAAGTGTTGCCAAGTGATGGGGCAATGCAAGTTTAAAAAAAATGTTATTGATGAATGTCCTTTGGATCTATTTGAAAAAGTTTCAACTTGTATGAACCAACTGTCCCAACTACAGCAGTCCCATGCTTGGCTAAGCTGCAGCAAATCCAGCCACAACTAATTCTTCCCTCTAGCCATGCTATTATCAAATTTGGCGAACCTCCCCAAGCCTTTTTCAAGGGAAAAATACCAAGAAGTATTTATCTGCTATTCTGCGTATTTTGGCCTAGGGAGGAAAGCATTTTATTTCTCCCTGACTCACAGAAATGATAGTGCAGGAAAGCCTCTCAATCCTTTTTCTGGAGGATAATTGGATCTAAAACCATTTCAGGTAGATCAGAGTGGTCTGAGTTCGTCAACTGGAATATAATTGAAATTGATGGTGAGTGAATTGTGTTTCAACATGATTCAACATAATGAAGGAACTCCTTCATGTCTGCAAGCAGCAGTGGAGCCCCCTCAGATATGAAAATTCTGATGACTGAACATTACAATTATTTCTTTCAAAAGTGAGCCCAACCGCATACCTGCCCATATGAATATTTCCTTCTGCATGAGCAGAGTATAAAATTGTCTCATCAATCATTCACCCATCACAAAAATCACTGGATCTGGCTTCCACAAACTTTTTCTCAATCTTAATAGTACAGTATTCTACTGGCAGTAAATTTCATTCATTTCTAAGGTAGACACATTTATGAATAAAATCAATTGAATAAAGGAAGAAAATTGTTCTGTAAGACATTATTTTTGAAAATGTCAATTTTTTGAGATTTGTTGTTTGATTGGTCTAAGTTTGACAGCAGAAACATTTCATGAAATTTTTCTAGCATGGGTACATGAAACTTGTCAATCTCCTTTCACTTGGCAAGCCTAAATTAATTTCACCATATTGAAGTTTTGGATGTTTATTATGTAAGAACACGTAGTCTTCTCTGGACAATCACTTGATCTTGTCTAGCATTAAAATATATGTCCCCTCTTTGTTCAACTTCATTCTATGCTTGTTGGGGAACCAGAACTGAGGCCCAGGGATGTCAGCTAGGTCCCAGGACCTGGATTCTGGTCCCATTTTCCTTTGTGCATTGGTTCCCCAGATGCATGACTTCTTTGATGCACATTTTGTCTGCCAATCACAGACAGGGGAAAAAGTCCAGTGCTTTGGTCAGGTCAGCTAACAGAAGCATTGTGCTAAATCCTATAAAAACCCAGCACCCTTCCACTCCAAATAATCAGTCCTTAAAATTAGCTCTTACAGTCAACTTCCTCCAAACATTCCAACCCCAATTCTTCTGATAGAATAGTTTTACTGCATTATTGCACCCTAAATTTTTGTGCACAAATCAATTGTTTTTATTTAATGTGTGTCGTATAAATGCATTTATTGTGATGCATTATTTTTGTATTGTGTTTGATTTATTGTGGACTGTGATTAAACCAAACAAAACTAGGGATTTGTAATTAAGGTACCCCTTTAATTACATATTCCCAGCCACAAACCGGCTGATTTCCCTGCCTTATCATTTCCCACCTTTTCTTGGACTGTGCTATGGTTCAATTCTTTATGTTTGGTTGATAAATTCCTCAACAATGCTGTAACACTACCTATGCATTATTATTCAAACTGTTCCTTTTTGAATAATAACTTGAGGAAACACATTTACACGTATTTTAGAAAAAATAGGTGGGATTGCTATCACAAAATATTCAGACGCATAGTGATCATTTGTCATTTGACATGCAAATCATTGGGCTTATTGAAATTCTTGCCAGAAGCTGCAGACAAAAATATTCACCATGGCATAAATGACGACGAAACTCATGTTTTGGAAAAGAACAGCTTTATTTACACGAAAATAAAATGTTGCAGACAATAAATGAATGATATTTGACTATCGTATAAGAGAAGACCGAATCGCTTAATTTCAGCCAATTTCTCGGCTTTCTTCACTTCTTCTAACCCAAAGACCCGAGCGTTCAGAGTTTAAGGGGCGGCGTTTCGTCCTCGTGTGATTGGTGGCGTCCAACACGGAAGTACTGGGCGCCTCTCACAGGCGGCAAAGGCGGAATGCCTCCGTTTACTTCAGTAGCAGACGCCGTATGATTCCCATTGACAAGCACAAGTTGTCCCAAACTCGTTTGACCTTTCGATTTCGTCTGCTCAAGCATCTTGAGTTTCTCAGGAGTTGAAAGATTGGATTTCATGATTCCTTTCACAGGCTCAGGACTGTCCAACGTTGCGTCGACCAAGTCTGATTTTGGCTGGACTTTTTCTGCATCTGCTGACTCCATGGCTGTGACAGGTTTGACTACTTCCGCACTGGACACTTCTTTAATGTCCGATTTATCCAGCGCGGAAGAATTACTCTTCAAATCATCATTGGAATCTGATAATGAAAAGAGAACCCAGCAGTTACAGTACAGTGTTGAACCTTGATAACTTGGACCTCTTTGAGTTGAATGTCTTCTGGAATTGGAATTTTTTCAAGTCCATCTCTGAATTCCCTTGGAAACAATGCATTAAACACCCATGTAACTCTAAAAATTCCACCCAATCTCCATAAATTTGATTTCCTGAAGGTCTTTTGTCTATAATTCTATTGAAAGAGAAAAGTAATAAAAAATTCAACAACGTAACAAGTATTGGAATTCAATGAAGTGACCCTTTCTGAAATCATAGAGGACCAAGATAAACTGTTGTCCGTATATGATTTCTCATCACAGATTCTCTCTAAAATGTTCATTCAACTAAACGTTATCTGGGAACAGGCTGAAGACCTCATGCTTTAAACTAAGTTCAGTAACTGCTTCAATTGCTATAATTCTGGCTTAGGCTGCAATTCTTGGAACTGATATTTTGTTTTCAATGTGAGGGAAAGAAGGTGGTGTACACATACACATCACTTGTGCAGTTGTACATTGTGGAATGTATTTTCTTTTATTTTGGTATCCATATGCAGCTTTTTTTCCTGTATTTCCCATTCTGAAGTGATGAAATGCATTTGAATGGATTTGGGTTGGGTGGGGATGCGGTTTGGATTTGGGAATGTTGATTGAACTTTGTGAATGCTGAAAAGCGGAAAATGAAGCTTTCTGTTCATTCATTCATGAATGTAACAATGTGGCTTTTCAGGGCCTTTGCCTCCAAGTTCAGATCCTGTGAACTCACTGAATTAGCAATTCAAAATTCATAATATCCCCAATTACAATTTCCAGCAATTTTACGTAATTTCCTTCAACAAAAATTAGTGTTTTCCAAACTCTAAACCTCCATAACTAAAATTTTTTTGTTCCCTTAAAAAAATAAAATACTGGTCCCTTTTCACATGTAACTGGAATAGGTTTCACGACTGTACTTTCACTGTGCTCAACCTCACACTCTGAACGATCACACAGGTGTCGCTTGTACTGCGCAACAAAAAATAAATTACTGTATTTGAGCTTTGACACACCCACCAGAACTGAACCTGACCCAGCCTCGAATTCGCGTGACAGAATAATGATCAATACGACCTCAAGTGAACGAACTTAGTTGGAGGAATGTGCATTATAGCACCTGAAAAGTTAGTGATCAGCTAAATGATCAAAGTAAAAATTTTCTTTCGTGAAGGATGACACATGATTCAATAAAACCTATTCGGACTTATAAAGGCACTAATTCGCGAAAATGATTTCATGAAAAATGCCCATCAAATGTAATTTCACCTTGAATGACCGAAGAACTGGGGCTATGCACCAGAAGCCCTTCTGGAACATTTTCCACGGTATGCGTGGGACCGGGGATGATCTGGACGTTGAAATTTGGATTGGAACCCTGTTTGTCCAAGCCACTGGCTTCTGGCCGTTCCACGTTCTTCATTTTCTTCGTCAAGGAAGAAAGGAAGGCATTTCGTTTGTCCCGAGGGTGATCTTCTCCAACTTCTTCCGTGATCTTCTCCATCTTGCTCAGCCAGTCCTCCAACATGTTGCTCACGTTCTCGTGTCCGAACATGCTGGCGTCATCAATGGGTGTTCTGCCCCAGCTGAGTCATCCGACAGTTTTTGCGAAGCAAGGAAGAAATTTGCACTGAATTTACTGTACTCTTTTTGTACCATTCGAAAAATAAAAAATAAAACTGTGACAAAGAAAATGAAGCGCGCGTCATTGTTGATGGGCGGCGCACATTTTCTATTATTTTTTTTCAACTTCAAACTTTTCTCAAACAGTCAAACCCTGTTAAGATGCCCCTGATAAAGCGCCACCCTCAGCAACTGCCAAAACTTTCAATAAAACAAATCTGCTCCACGTTAAATCCTATGGGAAACCTCAATAAGACGCCATCCGCCAGTATGAGTGATGAAACAAAAGTGCTGTTTCCTGTTTGTTTTGTCTCCATTACAACACCAACATTGTTTTGGAATTTCAATTTCTGTCAAGGATCTTGCATTTGTAAAAAAAAAGAATTTTTCTGAAACATTTGAAAATATACACCCAATCTTAAAGTTTGAATAAATTGATGAAGCAAAATAAATTTTCTGAAAGAGTAATCCATTGATCACAGCAATACTCTTTGGAAAATTACTGACGTTTCAAAAAACCTGTATCTCTATGACTTTTGGAGTAAACTTGAGTATTTTTGATCAAATAATTTAGAATGAAATATTGGATAAACCGCCAAAATTGCTCTGGACAAATGATGGCATCTTATTGGGGTTCAACTGTACTTTAAATTATTTCAAAGAAGTTGTTTTCAATGATTCTTTACATGGCATCATCAACATTGTAGTCAATTCTCGAGTGGGCATGTTTCAAGATTTTCCCCCATGTATAGTTTTTAAAATACCATTTGACTTTGGGGAACTGACAAAAATAAAACTATGGTGTGAATCTTGATAAAGGTCGCACAGTACTTGTTTAAATACGGGTACAATACTCTACTGCAGTTAGGATATCGCTAGAAACTCCCTGAGCTGCTAAAAACCAGGAACCTGTCTAATCCGTATTTCTAGTTAATTTATCCCTAGATGCAGATAATCAGCTGCTTAGGTTCAAAGGACATTTAAACCTTTCTCACTTCAAATTTTTTCTGTCGATAACCTCCAATTAATGCTAGAAACTTTATAAAATTGCTAAATGAAAATAATTTGGAACCTCCCTAGTTCAAATTTCCATTTAGTATATCCCCAGAAGCAGACAATCATATTTTGGTTCGAAGGCCATTTAACCCTTCCTAACTTCAGGCCTGTTGGGTCAAAAACCTCCCCAAGTCCAATTTTTAGAGGCTTTTTTCTATAATTTGCTCCTGAATTGTATTCCTCCCAATCAAAAAATATATATAAGCTTAATCTAAAAAAAATTGGCATACATTCTTTAAAATAAATACTGTATGAAAATGATTTTAAAAAGTACTTTCTGAAAATTGGAGAACATGAATACAAAACATATGCTGCTTGAAAGGAATTAGGAATCTTAGCGCGGCTGGAACATCTGTGAATAATGAATACTTATGAATGTAGATATTTGGCAATAAATGTATTTCCATTGATTCATCTATCCAAATCAATCCAAATAAGTCCCTGACTGAAAAACTCTCAAAGTTGACTTTTTCGGAACCCTTTAAAATTTGATTTAGCAAAGTTCAACTTCAACACTTTTTCCTTCTTGTGTTACTTGAAGAAATTTTTTCATTCTTTGAATTTGCACAAAATATCAATCCCATTCAGCTATTTCCTTCATGAAAGATTGAAAGTGAAAGATCCAATATTGCTTTATAAACGAAAAATTCCTCATATAACAGAAACACATTGGAAATATTCAATCACATATACCACAAACCATGTTCCTTGAAATGGAACATCATTGTAGTGGGAAAACGTCCTCAATTCTGCAAGCCCGTAGGCTATTTATAACCAGTCGTTGTGCTGAAAAAGCTTTTCTTTTACAAAAATTACAGTGCTAACTATACTGTGTAGCTGCGTTCCATATTTGATAATAAGACCAGGCTGCAAACTCGAGTTGAAAACCTTGTTACATCCTGACAAATAACTGATATACCCCAACTGAAATTCAATGAAGTGCCCAAAAAATGCAGACAAATATTCAGTACCGTTCATCATTGACTAATTTGCTAGGTAATACTGAGGCTACAGACATAAAAGGTTCTTCTGATGAAGTCGTTGAGGTTCATTCACCGATCTTTTGCCTTCGGAGAACAACCGCAGCTCTTGAGCAAGAATTCCACGCATTCCAAGTGTCCTTCGGATGCTGCCAAATGCAGGGCTGTACGACCGTCGTAGTCACTCTGTTCCATGTCCATTCCACTCAAGTAATACCTAATGATAACCGAAATAGGAAGTTATTTCGTCATGGGGACTTGTAATACGCCTAGGATCCTCGGATACCGTGAACATTTTACTTATTTTTTTCATCAACCAGCCGTCAACTTCTGTCAATATTTCCGGTTGATTAGTTCGATCAGATCTTTTGTTTGATCAGATCAAGCTTAAGGAAAATAAAAATGTTTTATCACATGATTTGAAGGTGATTACCCATGGAAGCAAACCCCATAGCTTGGTTTCCCTACGCTTATAAAATGGGTTGTCCCAGTTGGACGCGACCTGACATCTGATATTTTCAGAAGAGGTGTGATTGTAAAAAAAAAAAAAAAAAAAAAAATATATATATATATATATAT